ATACACCCTCGTGGGAAATAAGACGTGCTGAGTGAAAAATGACCTGAGTGCCATGTCCAAGAGGCGTCGGTCGAAAGCTAGTTCTGGGCCGCGCGCGTATTGTGAACTCCAATCAATGAGCGGGGCATTAAAGTCGCCCATGATCGGGACGTCAGGCTGGAGAGTAAATCGTCCTAGCTCCTCTAACAGACGAGCGTCAGCCTCGGGGTCACTCCTCGGTGGTCGATAGACGGTCAGAACTTCAAGGCTATGTGATCCTGGTACCCTTATAGTGAGCCAGATAGTCTCGGCGCTGCACGCAAACTGGTCTGTTTTGTCTGATACAAACAGGCCGTGTTTTACGTACATGACGACTCCTCCTCCCTGACGCTCTCTCCTCTCTCTTAAAACAACTGAAATCCTGGTAGTGCTAATTCGCGGTCATCCACGTGTGCAGACAGCCAGGTTTCTGTCAAAGAGAAAACATTAGGGGAAAGTTCACAGATTTGGATCTTCAGTTCGTCTAACTTGGGCAGTATACTCTGCACGTTGGTGTAAAAAATGTTAGTTTCAGAGTTTTGGGGCGTTTGATAGATCCAAATTAAGAAACCTATTGCGCCGTCATCCGGATCGGTTCGGGCCAACGGATTAGGGGAGGGCCCTGCACTATCTGGTTGTTGTAGATCACGAGATTCGTCTCGCCATTCTGCAACCTTGCTCTCAGTTCCAGAACTAATTGTCGACGCTTTATTCCCTCTGACGGTGCGTAGTCCGGCTAAAAAAAACGCCGCGGTTGGTCTCTTTGATTCGGAATCGTCGTGAGAGAATAAGTTCCACTTCTTTTTGGCTGGCTAAGACAATCTTGAGTGGTCGGGGACATGAATGCTCTGGTATCTCTATTGAGCACTGTCGAAGCCTAAAGGCCTTGAGAACCGAAACTTCCTCATTAGGGCGCAGAAGTTCGTTGAGTAGGCATTGGAGTAATTGCAAGTCTGCCGAAACCCGCTCTTTTGAGGCACTAGCTGTGAATTCGAGACATCCCTGAATGATCAGACATTGCCCTCTGACCGGCGACTCTCCCGAGAACACGGTGGTTTCATGCCCCGACAAAAGCAATACGTGGTTGTCATGATCTGAATATGATATAAACCGCAGTCGATAAAGATCCTCATTCGTCTCTGTATTGTTTGCACTTTCACCACAGTCAGAAGTTTTTTGCGATAGGTTGAGGGTTTTAGGACCCATGACATTTCCCGTGATGGGCGACACAGTCGCCGACGTCCCTGGTTCCGGTTCTTCGGAAGCATTCCTCAGAATCTGCTGCCCTTGTCCTTCGACATTTTTGCTGCACGAGTTCTTTTTTCCTCCGGCTTTTTTTCGTGTCGTCGCTGGTTGTTGTCGTCTTGTATTTCATGTGTGTGTGTGCTGGGTCTGCCGTGACAGCTGAAGAGGGTGTTGATGGCGTGTCTTTTGTGCGAAGTCCCTTGGCCCTACTTCTTGTTATTCTTCCAACTAGTATATTCGTATTGTCAGCTGTGTCTAGTCTACATTGAAGAAGAGTTTTTAACTTTTCAATCTCTTCCTCAAGGCGGCTGCTTTGCCGGCCAATATCTGGCATCCGCTTCAAAATCGATCGGTATACGGCACACATTTACTATCAGGTAAACTTTGTGACATCGCTTACCGGCGTTCTGCGATGGCCGGGGGGTTATCGTGCGCGACTGAAATATTGATGGTCGGTGGATCGACACCGTCATGCAAGGTAGTTTTTCGGGAAGCTGCGCGAATCTCCATCATGTAGTGGACTTATGCAAAACAGAAAAATCTGCAGGAATAACAAGCTTTTTCCTAAGAATCAACTGTAGACAGTGTCTATGCTAATGGTGGGTACGCCGAAAATTTCCAGGGAACACTTTTTTCAGGTAAACCTATCCCTGCCAGCACCAGCCCCCTCGTGCCCCCTCTCAGCCCCGCCTCGTGAGGGGGTAACGACGGGGCTGGAGAGGGGCTTTGGCGGGCAAATTCCCGATGTGGCCTCCTCTGGCCCCTTCATCGAAAAAAATGCTCAGGGGGACACCTTATAATTGTCGTTTTTGCCCCCACCCCTGGCCATATTAGACCGTCTGGCGGCATTTCGTTACAGTCCAGATCCCCCTTTTCTATACCGATTTTCCCCGGTATCCATCCATTATTATCCTTTTATGCCTTCTCGCGAACCCCTAGTCGCCTAGTTTTTTTGTTATAATCTACCCCAAATTCTGAAAGACAATTTCCCCCACGATTGTTAGCAGATCTTCACGCGTTACTGCGTATCCCCGAACGAACCATTGAACGTCATTTATTGTTTGTGGAAAATGCATTAGACGAAAAAGAAAAAAGTGTGGTTTGTTCAAAAAGTCATGCTTCATCAGGGGACATATTTGGCTGGCCGTCCAGGTCGGTTGCGGGTATCTACAAGAAAAGAAAGCAGAGCGTCCCATTAATTAAACGTTAAAAAATATGCTACTGAAGTAAGTCATTAGAGTAGCGTATTTATTGTATAGATTAGTATGAAGTTGAACAGCTGGAATATAGGCAGATTTTAAAGATATAAAGAAACGCGTACTTACAGTATCTTCCGAAGTAGACTGTGTTAGGTATGTTTCGGCCGTACAGGTACCAAACCTATGTTTGGTAAAGTGATATTTGTCTGATTTTAAGCAGCACAGCAAATAGTGTGGAAAGATCGACTCAGCCTTTTTGCAGATGTTGTTCCAAACTTCGGCGTGCAGTTTGAGACGGTATATTGGATGATTAGGCTCTGTAGAAAAGCCGAGATTTCCGACAGAAAGACCGTGTTTTGCAGAAATTTGTTCTGATCAAACGATAAGGGTATCAATGGAGCTAGCTGGAGGATCGTAGTCAGAAACGCGTTTTATAATTCACTTTTTGATGAAGGACAATCGTTTTTAGTGGAGACTCGATTGAAAAACTTCCTTCTTGCAACTCAAAATTCAAACTACGCGCGTCAGTTCACTACCCGTTAAGGTGAATCAAAATAGCATAGGGCAGCACTATGGTTGGGCTTGGCGACCTTGGAACAGCGGCCATTGTCAGCGCATTCAGAGTTCACACCAAGGGACCTTGTGAGACGAACACGGCCGCGATCAATGATGGCCGCAGTTCGAATCGGCCTAGGGGGACGCATTCGGTACAAAGTAGAGTTTGCTGGCGCTAACGACATGGTAGAAAGAGTTTGGGCTTAATAATGGAACGGTTGGTTGTCAAGAGTATAAGAGCTAACGGAACCGAGGCCAGAAACCACGGACACACGGCAAGTACCTATGTGATTTATCAATATTGGTACTACGCATTTTTATTTCATGCATGTCAATGCAGCACTGAGGATGATGCATTTCCACAGTAGGTGCGTCGTCAAAATCGATGGCCGAACTATCATAATAAAGCAAATTAAATGTAATCCGGTTAATGTTTTGTGATCCGCTGTTCCGCTCTGGAAAGTACAAAGACTAGCGGTCCGAGAACTGAGCCTTGGAGGAGCATCAGTAGTCGCGATCACCAGGTCTGACATATCATCCCCGATACGGACAGGCTGTTTTGCGATTAACCAGAAGCGCGCTTATCCGACAAGAAGGCCACGTATGCCGGCAGCCGCCTTCTCAAACCTTACAGTGTTGGGGTTTTAAGAAGTCCCTCTCCAGATGAAATGGAGTAAATGGAGTAAAGCTAGTGCAAAAAACCGGAGGGCACGCAGTGCATTTAGTGTGTGCTGGAGTAAGTTCGCTACCCGTTAAGGTGAATCACAGGGGAATTAGAACTTTTCAATAACAGTAGAGCCTAGCGCTCTGGTTAGGGTTAGGGACCTCATGAACTCCGAGTCTCCATATCGCTGGCACAACTGCCATCGTCAGCACATTTCGCGTTCGCTCCACGTGACCTTGTAAGACGAACACGACCGCGATCAATGATGGCGGCAGTTCGAATCAGTCCGGGGAGACGCATTGGGCACAAGATGGAATTTCGGTGCATTAAATAAAAGTTTCTTCCCAAAATAGAGATGATGGGGAGACGCATCAGGCAAAAAACGGAGTTTGCTAACGTCAACGACGTGGTAGCTGGAGTTTGGGCGTAATACTGGAACGTGTAGTTTCCAAGAGTGAAAGAGCTAACGGAACCGAGACCCGAAACACGACACACGGCAAGTACCTGTGTAATTTGTGAAAATTTCTATTACGGATTTTTATTTCATGCATGTTAGTGCAGCACTGAGGATAATGCATTCCTACAGTAGGCGCGTTACCGCAGTCAAAGAATACAATTATTTGTGGCCAGCAAATATACTTGCATGATTTTTGTCGATTTCGGATTATGTTGCGACGTGAATGGCGACTTTATTGCCAACACCTCGGCTAAACGCGGGCGCTGGTGTAGGCACTTCGAACACCATCCCAAATTCGATACCCAACACATCACGACCTTGCTTTCCTCTCCAGCGCAGTTTCGTCCACCTCCAACCTATGCAGTGTCAAGCGACCCCCCAACTGAAAGAGAAATCACCGATGCTATACGAAAGCTACGTAACACCGAGGCACCCGGAGACGACGGTGTACCCGATGAAATTTACAGGTTTTCTGTCGAAACTCTGGCGCCCTAACTCCATGAGGTGATTGAACAAGCGTTGTGAAACGAGACAGCCCCCGATAACTTTAGCTGGGCATCCTTGTACCTATCCTCAAGAAGGGGAATAATAGAAGATGCGAAAACTACCACAGGCTAAGCTTCATCGACGTTGCGGCGAAATTGTTCTCTATTGTCCTTCTTAAACGATTCCTGGCTGTGTGTGACTCAAGGACGAGGCCCAACCAAGCCGGATTCCGTGCTGGACGTGGATACGCAGATCAGATATTCACGCTGAGGCGCATTCTCGAATTTCGCCATAGCTACCCACAACCGACGGCCGTCTGCTTCATTGACTTTCAGCCGCGTACGATTCTCTCCGTCATGAGTCCCTATGGCGGACAATGGCACTAGATTGTGTACCGCCACAACTCATTGCCATGATCAAAGCCTATTATCGTTCCACTACTGCGCGAGTCCTGATCTCCAACAGTCTTTCCCAACAGTTTGGTATTCGATCTGACGTTGGTCAGAGTTGTATCCTGTCGCCCATTCTGTTTAACTACGCTATTGACCAGATTCTCGGGAAGGCCCTACACGAAGGTGACGGTGTAGAGTTTGTGCCCGGACACCGACTGACTGATCTCGACTATGCCGATACTATTGCCTTACTTGCCTCAAGTGTCGGTGCTCTGCAGTCTATGTTATCACGGGTAAACGAGGTCGCTCAATCAGTTGATTTATCCATAAACGTTGGAAAGCTTAAAGTGTTTTCATGCTGCATACCTGACCAAGAGAAGGCACCTCTGGGGACTGATGCCGGTCAACTCGAAGAAATAGGCAGTTTGAAAAACCTCGGAGCGAAGCCGCTGCTGGATGGACAGTTTGAGGACGACCAGGTCTGACATATTATCTCCAATAAGGAAACGCTGTTTTGCGACCAACCAGAAGGGCGCTTATTCAGTCAACAGCGTCTCGTGTGCCGACATTCGTCTTTTTACGCCTTCCGGGGTTGTCGTTGACCACAGACTATGGGCAACCGGCTTACACCAATAAATGAGGCCGATGGGGCCGCCCTTGGTGGGAAAAATAACTGAGTTCTAATCAAACGTCCGTGATCCTATGCATAACGCGGATTTGGAGAAAGTTATCGGATAATGTCTGATTTTCCTCAAAGGGTGACCGCAGATTTAAACATTGCTTTCACGTTGAAATCTATTTTCTAAAGACTTTTACATAATATGTTTAAGCGACGG